GCCATCATTAAACTTATTTTTATACATATGTATTATATTACAAGCTTTCACTCGCAACTCAAAGCTTACATTGCAAAAACGTATATACAAACATATGAATAACCCGAAGTGTTATACGCAAGTAACGGCAATGCTTACTGACATGATGATGGTGCTTCATAAACAAGTTTTTAGGGTCGAGGACTCAACTGCCAAGCAACAAAAAAGAGGAAAATTAAATAACAAAATAATCGGAATAAAATGTGAAAGAGAGAACCGGAAGTTCAGCACCTAAGCTTGTGTGTGCGTGTGAGCTGCTAAGCAAAGGAGGGTCTAATTTTAAAAATATATTACTGTAAAGACAAACATTGTGGATATGTAGGAAGGCGGCGATGAGATGTGATTTTGTTTGTCAGCTGGGCATAATATGACGCATATATAAGACATATACAGATATACGAAGTAAAAGCATTCGAATGCTGTTTTATATTTTCAACACATTTGTTCGACTTAAAAGCGTCCTTTTCATAATTTAAAAGCGGCAAAATAAACATTATCATGACACCCATGCGTTTATCTATCTGCACATACACACATACACCTACTCCACACAGCCAGCGGCTTTTTATTTATTCATTGCGTTCTGCTATGTATGCAGACAACAGTCTTTGTTTGTTTGTGTACTTTGAACTGTTTGTCTGTATACGAGCAATCCTGACACCCATTTAGCCTTTGAGTTGCAAATCTGTCGTCCTTTGGACTCTTCAACGCACACATAAGCCTCTGAATGGTCGTATTTATTTTTATTATTAGATACACTTATAGATATTAAGGTGAACGTTAATTTAGATCAATAAATAAATAAAATAAAATAAAATAAAATAAAATAAAATAAAATAAAATAAAATAAAATAAAATAAAATAAAATAAAATAAAATAAAATAAAATAAAATTAGTTAAAGTAAAATAAAATAAAGTAAAATAAAAAAAATAAAATAAAAAAAAATAAAATAAAATACAATAAAATAAAATAAAATAATATAAAATAAACTAAATTAAACAAAATTATCATAAATAAAATTAAATAAAAAAAAATGAATTAAACTAAACTAAATAAAATAAAAGAAATTGAAATAAAGTAAATTGAAATTAAAGAAACAAAATAAAATAAAGTACATTAAGGAAAATGAAAAAGAATTATATAAATAAAATAAAATAAATGAAAAGACTAAAAAAAGGAAAATTACATAATTAAATTTAAAATTTAAATTTAAAATACCCTAATGCGTTTACAACTATGCGAAAAAATGCGAGTGTATGTGCATACGTTTAATTGAGAATTTAAAATGATTTGTTTACATTTTGAGCTTTTGTTGAAATTTTGCCTTCAGCAATTTTTAACATGAGGATGTGTGTATAAAAGACGCCACGGCTCTCACACTTACTGTGCAAGTATGCAGTTAGTGTGCCTATAAGCATCATACCGTAGTTAAACTACACACGTTGCTGTTTATTTACGTCAATTCTAATGAGCTCGTATTTTTCTAAGAATCGTTGGTGTATGCTACGGGTACTCTACACACACACCTACACATAAATGTGTATTCATATATGGATACATGTTTTTATTTTCGTTGTTTATGTTACTGTTGCTCCCGTTTTTCGCCCTGCTAGTCTCCGTCGCCGGCTTTTGTCGTTGTTGTCATTTTTACACAGTTTCAATTGAAGCCAGGCATTTTACTTACTTTTCGTACATCCATCTACACATAAACACACACACACACACACACATCTGCAAAGGGTAATTTATGTGCTTGAGAATTTTTAAAAGCTCATCAGTATGCCTTGCCTCCTTTGCTCGCACGCGTCGAAGAAGCGTTTGTGTGCTTGTTAGTCGTTCGCCTTTTGTTTTGCTCAAATTGTCTGTCAACAAATTTGACATTTAATGTGTGCATTGCAATGTCGTGAAAACATTTGTAGCCGCTTAAGTATTTTAGTCTGTTCCATTCTCTTTATTGTTACACACTTTTCTCCATGACAATAAACTGTTATTTGCAAACATCTTTGTTTTTTGTTGTTTTCCGCTGCTTATCAGTCAATTTTGTTATTTTTCATGCGTGCCATTAAGAGATTATTGGTGTATACGTACAATATATATGTACATTCTGAAATACATACACGTATGATATAATTATATATGATTATTATCGAAATTTTACTGCCAATACGTTTGCTTGTTTATTACCGTTAATTTTTATTTCAGCGGTTAATTATGCGAAAGGAAAATTATAAGCTGGAAAATTACGATTGGAAATATATGAAATTTATTTTGGGTTATTGTTGTTTTGGCAGTCACACAACGGGCTGAGAAGAAGGGTAGTTAGTATTGACTGCCTCATAATTACAGCAATTGCGAAAAGAGATGTGGCCTTTCTGCTAAAGTAGTACTCCTGATGTCTGAAGCCCTAGCTCAGCCTAACCTTTCATCAGAGCTTACGAGTGGCTGAAAATAGTCAAAACGCACGGTCGCCATAAGGATGAGGCGGTTAAAACTATATGCATCTGAATGCCGCAGGTAGAGGCGCAGTTATATTTAGGTCGTCTAGATCTTTGATTGAATTACATATTTACGGAAGATGGTTGTAGGTTCTTCTGTAGTCCAGGTAAAGCCGGGACCGGTGAGCGAGTTGAGTTGATGTCGTTGCTACGTCAGCGAGGCTTGCAGGTATAAGGTTTCAGACAAGCTGACAAAGTTGGGTTGGTAGTGAGGACAAACCGAAATTTCTCCTGTCATCTTACAAACAGTCAATTAGTCTAGAAACCCAGGCAGTATCAGCCTTGCAAATAAATCCCTCTCTCACGCTCTAGAGAAAGAATACCAAATTTTACAAAGAGTTCATCATTCCCATTTGTGTTTGTGTACTTGTCTGTGATGTAGAAGCGATGTCGACATCCGAAGAGTAAGGAATATATGTACATTGGAAGCGAATGAAAACACAGCGCCTATGCTGCCTAAGTGTCTAAGTCATGTCATAGCGCTCCAGGCTTAAAAGTGTTCCTCGCGGTGATCTCTGCTGGAGGCAGTGGAAGAGGAAGACCTCCAGTCTGTTGGAAAGATCAGGTGGAGAACGATTTTGTTTCAATTGGTGTCTTTAACCGTATTTTGCTTTAACATTTCTAGGGCGCGTGCAACCTTTGTGGGATTAGGCGAATCTCAGTTAGTCAGTTTAACATGTCGCTTGATCACGAAGCCCCGATCAAGCACACTTTGGCCAATCGCTCCACCTGATACCTAAGTTGGTCCTGCTAATTAGATTTCCTTCACCTTTTCTAAAACAACTTTGTGTTCATGATACTCAGAAGGTCATTAATCCTACCGATGTAAGCCATCGAATAAGAAGTGTCCCCCACAAACAATGAGAGTTGGGAAATGACAGCGGTTGTTTCGCTCAGACTCCTCCTTATCTATGTCCCTGCAGCTGCGGCAGAAGTCGTATAAAAGGTAGCCCATTCTTCTGCCAAGAGTCCCCATAAGACAGTGTCCGGTTATTACGCCGGTTGTTATGTTTATGTTTAGAATGAGTCGATTAATGGCCGGATTTGTCTTGTCACATTGTACGAGATCTCGCTAAGTGTTAGCAGATACTTTGCCGTGGAGAGCGGTATGCCCACGTCGTGTACGGAATTTACTAGGCTCACCTTAAAATAATTTTTAAGAAAATATTTAAATGAATCTTAAAATTTGGATGTTGTATATAGTTTTCAGTGAATCAATATTTTCAAAATCTTCTGACAAATAACAAATCAATCAAATTAGTGTGAAATTCCAGGAAAACTGTTACGAGAATGCTATATAAATTTTTTGAGGCCTCGCACACATTGTGTTGGTGCCATTGCCTCAAAGTCGCAACGGGTCAGAACATCGAGTTGAGCCTGTCTGTCCGTCTCCCCGCCGGCCAGATCAGACCACTATGGCATATAAACGACCGATTGCTTAGGCTCAATGGTTTGGGTCATAAACTGATCAAAAAAGCATCTAACGGCGTGATATTGAAATTGGTGCTGAAAATTATAGAAATCGGACAATTATAGTACATGCGATTCAGCATAATATGGGTTTTGTAATAATTCCACTAAAGAGAAATTCGGGGCTCTACACACCTATGAACAAACGAATAATGCCACAGCACACATACAACCGATTTTTTCAGATAAGAGGTTTTGTTTTCCCCTATTCAATCAGATTATCAGATATGAGAATTAATATTTGAATCTAAAATAATACAGAAGTCGTAGCTGGGAGGGTACTCGAAGACTGCGAAGAGTCGATTCGGCGCCGATCGCAGCCACTTGGACTTACGTATGGAATAATTTGAAGCTTTTTACCTTGAGTTCTTCAATTGAAAAAGTAGAAAATACAGCTTGACCAAGAATTGAAGCCGCTCGACCTTTCCAAGTGACATCGCTTTGCTCTATGGGCTCTTAAAAAGTTCCAAAAAGATCCGACGAGCCAAATTTTTTTCAGCGATGAAGCCCATTTCTGGCAGGATGGGTTAAGATTTCGATTTAGATTTATGGAGAGAACACTTTAATGGCAGAAAATTTCACGGCTTGGGCTGGTCGATTAGCCACCAAGATCGTGTAAAATCACACCATCAGATCATCTCAGACCGAGCCGCGGCCAACATTTGAAAGAAATAATCGAATAAAAAATGCTTAAGAATGTTCTTTCGAATGATATTAAAGATTCCCATTTAATTTTGAATTTTCTATTTAAAAGAGTAGGGAACCTTGCAATGGATCACACTTACAAATATCCTAAATTTCAAATTTTCATGAAAGGTGGTCCAAATAATTAATTTTATTATTATAAAATTTCTTACGTCACTCTGCTATATAACATCAACCTTGTTTCTCCGCTTATGAAAATAACTTACTAAATGTTTTAAAACTTTTTCCAGAATTTCAACGTATTTAAAAACAAAATTATGAGATAAATGAGGCCACAATAGCAACAAATTTGCACAAAAATTGACTGAAAGGATCAAAAATAAAAGAAAACTAGAGGCTGAGATCCAACAAGATATAAAATACAATCAAACACCAAACCAAAATCAAGCGAACACATATACATACATATGAGCAACAATGTGTGTTTCGCTGTTGACAATATTCAAGGCAAAAGGTAAGTAAAAACCATACAGAGATGCAAGCTAAAAGTGAACAGTAAAATATTACATAGAAATATCAAAACATACATACAAACAGATACATATGCTTTTTCACTGAATATATGTATATACATATATATATATATATATATATATATTTTAAAATATTTATTTATGTGTTTCGTCTTGCGATTCTTTGAGACTCCTCATGTGAGATCACATCCTTCTGTCAGTCTGTCTATCTGTCTAGCGGCTTACCTGTCGCACACACTCTTGCGTCTCGCGCGAATAACAACAACAGCAACTTGTTGACGTTAATAACAACTTGAGCTCAATTTCTTATTACAACGATACTCAAACAAACTTATATACATATTTGTATATTCTGAGGCAAACAAACCTGTACCAAATAAAACACGTATGTACGAGCATATATATATTCGTATGTTTGTATAAATTTTCCTGAACAAAAAAAAGTATGTAAGTGAGCAGCAAAAGCGGAGAAAAGAATAATACTGCGGCGGGCACATGCATCATCTGCCAGCAGCTGTTGCCACACTTGTCCCTCCATTAATATATAGTAGCATGTATGCTGGCGCTTCGTCAACTGTAGGAATTGCAACATATGTTGCACTCATGCGTTGCTTGCCTACGCTACTCCGTGCCCCTCTTTGGCTCATTCGCACACACAAGGCACTCGAGTCAAATTTGGAGTGGCACTAATTTTTGTGTTAACTCGTACTTGAGTGTTGAGCTTTGGTTACTGTTGTTGTTATTGTTGTTGTTGTGACTGATGTTGCTCTTGCATTTATGGCGTAGAGTGCCTGTCTGTGGCACAATGCAAACATATTACCGAAAATGTAACAACGGGAGCTTGGAAAAACATTTAAAAAAAAAATGAACGAAAGTAGAGAAGTACAACAAAAAAAATATTTTTTTTTTTTTCATATGAACTAGTCTGTATGTTAGTTTCATGAAATATGTATGCTTTAATTTACAAAAAAAAAAGGTAAAAATTAAAAATAAAAAATGTAACAGTTCATGCATAAACTGCAATTTCAAGTGGCAACAACTGTTTGCTAACGACCAAATGGAAATTATTCAACAATTTCTCTTTTTATCTTCATTCTTATACTATTTAGAAAGATTTTGAGCGTAAATGGTGTAGATATATATATCTAGATGCAGGGAAAATTTTGGCTCCTAACTTGTGATGTCAGTTAGTATTTTTGAATATTAAATGTGATAAATGAACCTCGTTAATTTGACTAAAAAGAGGGGAAAAGTAGAACAATATCGGAAACTAAAATGTTGAGCACAACGTATTTGGATATAAAATAAGAAAGAGGAGATGTCTTCATGCCGAAATATTTGGGCATTTCAGGACCATACCAAATTCAATACCAATAAAAGGTGTAATTTTGAAAAGCCTGATATTCCGGTAGAAGTCACTTTTAAAGCTATAATTTTTCGCCATTTTACACTTAAAAACTACGACAGTAATTAAAATGGAAAAATTACGGGCTTCAACAGCGCATTGAAATTATTAAAATTCACTATGAAAATGGTGAAAACCTGATGGAGACCATTTTTCGGTCGTCGAGAAGCACTTTGTCCGACCGCAATACAGAAATTATTGAAAAAAATAGAGCTGTTGAAGCAAGTTAGTCATGTGGAAAATAAAACTCATAGCTCAACTACAACTGAGAATATTGCTGTTGTAGCCCAAAGTATTGAAGAATACCCATTACCCGCCGTTTTTTGAAATAGCGCATTCCACAAACGTCATTAGACCGTATTTTGCATAAAGACTTGAGTTTTAAGGCTTAAAAATTTCACTTTAAGATTTTTAATTGATAAGCCTCTAGATTCTCAATGTATAACCCGTGCAGTTCATAGTCCAGCGGAGTCAGTGGACCTTACTTTTTCAAAAATGAGGCGGGATTAACAATTGCGTTGAATGTCCGTCATTGGATGGTATTGATCAGGACATTGTTTACTTTGAACAAAGCGACGCTACGTGCCACAAATTCAACGAAACCATTGATCTTTTATAGGAAAAGTTTCCAGACTATGTTATCTCTCGAAGAGGTGTTCACAATTGGTCACCGAGATCTTGTGATTTACCATTTTGCGACATCTTTCTTTGAGGCCTTGTGAAAGATAAGGTCTACGCCAACAGGTCAACATCGGTTCTTGACCACACAGATGGAATTCGTGAAGCTATTCAGAGCATACAGTAGCCACAATTTCATAAAAAGGCTATGATCTTGTAAGCGTAGCTATGGCGGCCATTTCGGCTGATCATGTTTGCCATTATCAATGGAAATAAGCAGCCGGTCATTCATCTTAAAATATGCTATTTTTCTTTCAATATCAAATTAATACCTCTCATTGGAAAAACCCTGTGTAAAAATAACCCGGCGGCTAGAGACCATCACTTTTAGCTGCCGTGTAGGATATGGTACAGTGAAAGAAATTCAAGCGATGTTTATACGGTATTTAAAAAGGTCGAAAATGAACGATATTGGAATCATTGTCTTCAAAAATTTGTATAAGCTGGGCGAAGAGGGATACGAACTGGCCCGGCAGGTATGATAGTAAGGCGCTGTGTTGACGGGAGCAGTTTCTAATTTTATTAAAATTTTCTTTCAGTTGCGTACTCATCTTGTCATATAATATAATGCAGAATTTTGAACTATAATGAGGTGCGAAGAACACCGATGGATTTATAGCTCTTAGAGAGAAAGAATACTTCTGAATCGATTTTCGGTCGAGCTTTCTTTCACTTAAAGAGATTGTTGAGGTGCAACGCGACTGAAAAGTAATTTTCTACAAATGTGTATGCTGTTTTGTCCATGACCATGACCCTGGGCAAGGCAACATCTACATGAAAAGCTGTCAAAAAAAGGTCTTTGTGGGAATACAACGAGACTTAGTTCTAGTTTCCGACACATCGTCGATTATTTAATACTTTTGATGTTGCAAAATTAAACCGCTCTCGAATTTTGGTAAACCTGATTTCTTTTGCTCACATCTTACCTTTGTGTTCTAGAAATGATATGCAATTGGTTTTAAAGCGGCTTGGTCAGAGCGTGCACTGATTGTAATGAAAACTTTAAACGCGTTTTTCTCCAAATCACATTTTTCAAAACTGGGATTACAGATTATTCGGAGGCTACTGCATCTTCCTACTGCGGTTTTACTAAAAATTTTGACGTTATCTTCACAAATACATATTTTTTGGAAGTACTTAGTAATTTTTTCGTTAAATTTAAGCTTTGATTTTTTTTAACAATTTACTGCGTATTTTTTAGTCAAAATCAAAATCAACCTCTTTTTAAAAAAGTTTGCGGCTTTTACAAAATTTATTGAAAAATAAATCCGTACGTACTTCCAAAGACCACAGTTTGTAGACCATGAAACTTTTTGTTTTGCTGTTTTGGGACTTGTCCTTTAGAAAAAATCGGCCCTTTCGTGGGCGTCTTTCAAAAAAACCAGGATTAAATATTGGACTTTAATACTGCTATTTTGTAGCAAAATAATATCTAAAGAATATTATTTTATATGCCGATATACATATATTCGATGAAATGATTGAATAGATGTTCTATTCCTTTTTTCTTATTCCAAAAAAAAAAATCAAAAAGTGAGTTTAAAATATATATTTTTTAACCTCTAGAGTGGCTTTGACCTCTAAGAAAATATTTTTTTCTTTACAAACGATCCTAAAATTCTGCATCAGTAGTATAGACCTATAGAATTGTGTATTTGAGGGGTAGTGGTTTGAAAATCCTCCTGCGAAAAGGTATGCCTGGGTTTTATACCGGAACGACCCGAATTTTTATTCTACTAAGGAGTGTCAATACTACTTCGGGGTATATATTTGCGGCTACAAAAACAACAACAAACCTAAAAAGGATTCGGTTACCTCTTGGCGGGATAGTTTTGATGTTATACTTCCAGAAGGGCATTTGTTGTAATGCTCGTAAAACATATATTCTAGCCCAAAATAATGGAAATTGGAAGTCATTACAAATTTTTTTTTATGTTTCACCACTTCTAGCTTCCTACAAATTACATGTTACCAAAAAAGGTAAAAGAAATGAATTAAGCTATTATTAGTGAATTGGGATCGCACAAAATTAAAATATAAAATGAAAGCTTTCAAAAAAAAAACAGCAAAAATTTAAAAGGAAAAAAAATACTGCAAATATACCTTAATAATTTTGAATCTTAATTTGAAAGAAATAACCAAATTAAAGAAATATTATAGGCTATGATCCAGTGCGAGCTAGAAGGCCTATATGACCAGATAAGCCCTTTAAAGTCTCAAAAGCTCTGCCAGAGCGGTAACCATAGTAACAATATTATTTGCCAAAAGCACAGTCAAATAGGGATTCGAATTTTTGCAATACTTCAAAGATTGAGAAAGCTGAGCTACATTTGGTCTCTTTTAATAGGTTCCAGTATAGTTATATTCTGTCTCATATACAAGTATTCTAAAAGACTTGAGCTCATGGGAAAATTTCCAAAATATCCCCCACCTCTACCCGTCACTATCTCACGTGTGCCCCTTCAGGTTGCTGTTTCGCCGTTTGACGTTTGCGACAGCAACCAAAAAGGCACAAGGGCATTCTTTGCAAATAATTAATGTAATTACTGTATGCGGCACCAACTCAAAAATATTAAGGTAAACACATTAGTTTAAGTATTTATTACGTTTATTTATTGATAAAAATCTTTGAAACTTAGTACTACATAAATCTTGTGCTCTGCTTCATAATTTCAACCCAAAATTTTGCCACATAATCGCTAAATCCAATATCTGCCATTCAGCCGACAGCCGTCAACTACTTCATTACGTTCAACCAGGCTAAGTGCTTAACGTCCTGCGAGCACTTGGCTTACCGCAAAATCCCAAACAGTTCATACTTGTGCATGCACACACAACAACCAAATTGTCAAACAGACCTACAGACATAACAATTTCATATATAAATCTACACGTATTTACATTTATATACCTACATATATAAAATAAATCCCATATATGCTTATATGGTTATCCTGCATATTGTTATTGCTATAATTTTTAATTTATTTACATATATGTGTTGTTGTTGTCTTCATGCTTCTATTATTTTTCTCCTGTCCTCTAGGTCTCACACACAACAAATCATCACAGTTGCTAGCATTTTTGGCATTACTCCTGGTCGTGCTGCCGCCGCCACCAGCTGCCAAAGCCACAAGCGGCTTACGCGTGCCCACTTTCATGCAGGAGCCACCACCGCGTCTACTCTTCAGCAATGACACCGGTACACAGATCAGCTGCATGGCCCACGGTAATCCGCCGCCGGTGGTATCGTGGGTGCTCAAGGACGGCACTATGGCGACACAGGTGCCGGGATTGAGGTGAGTGAGTTGTAGCGAAAAATGAAGGAGTGAATTCCGGCTAAGGCCCCTTCGTGCCGGTACGAATATATGTAAATATATGAGATATAAATGTGCTGGGCTCAAGTATGCTGAGTGCGGATTAACTCGATTAAGGGTCACACACATTGTTGTGGCTTCCCCATGGAAGTGTGCTGTAAATGAGAGATATACACGTATGTACGTGGTGAGTGGTTAGCTGGTACAGAGATTGGGGTGGGAAGTTTTCGAGTGTGAGAAACAAATCCGCAGTGGGCGACACGTATATCGTGCTAAAGGAGAAAAAGGTGTATTGCAGAGGCTGAATTAGAATTGTTGGTAGGAACTTTCTTGCATTGCCTGCGTGCGTGCGTGTGTAGGCTAATTCAGTTCTTGTTGCGCTGCTGCTGTAAAGTTTGTGGCAAGTGCTGTCAACAAAGTGGCTGGAGATTTGTTGTAAACTTCTTCATTGCAAACTTCAATACTTCAACTAAGTTATATTAGCTTGTTTTTCAAGTTGTTGTGTGTGACTTCTTGTTCTTCTTCTCCTTCGGTTTCCCTATTGTTTTCCCGTTGCTGTCGTTGGTGAGCTTTTGTGCTTTTCATTTCATAATTAAGATATAATAAATGATATTGTTGCGGTTCTTGGTGACGCTTTTGTTTTTTTGTTTTTTGTTTTTATTTTATTTTGCTTTTTGCTTTTGCAATTTAGGAGCTCTCTGTTTTAGTTGTTGTTGTTGTTGTTGCTGTTTGGTTTTGTGTTACCATTATTTATGCTTTTTGTTGCGAACAGTTAGTGTATGGTTTTTAATTAGCGTTGCAAAAGTTTGTTGCCACTTTGACTAAATACATAACAACACGCAAACATTGGCACAATTGTCTCGGAAGTTGGGAATACAGGTATATGTTTGTATGTTTATATGTATTATAAATTTATATTTAGTTATACGAGTATAAAGGGTGTTTAAATAGAAACATTTAATTTTTTCTTTTATTTTCGATTCGCAGAAACTGCTCAAAGTGTGAGATCTATGTTGTATATATTTATATTATTGGTATACATAAAAGGCTTTGTCCTGGATGATGGACGGATCAACCCACAGCCTAAACCGCTGATGGTAGATGTATGAAGTATGTTTTTTACTATTCAATACTGTCTCCCTCAAGTGAAATACACAGGGAGAAAATAGTCTTTTTTGGATCTCTCTCTCACTGTCGTCTGAAAATCTTAGCCCCGGCAGCTCCGTTTTTATGCCTGAAACAAGGAATAAGTCATTGGACCTGACTGTCGGGACTGATGGGTGGACGGGCAAATTTCTATAAAGTCCTTAACTTTTAGGTATCACTGGCAACCCAAGCGGTATGATCGGGTGCATTGTTTTAAAGAAAAAATACTCCGCGCATTAGCTTGCCGCGTCTCTTCCATACGACTGCCACGTCGGATTCAATAAGTTGGCATAATACTGGACGCTCAATGTAGTCCCCCTTAGCAAGTAATCAACTGATAATATTCAATTACTATTCTTTTCCCCGTTTTTATTCGCTGCATTTAGTCCTGTTTGGAGTCGGGATCACACTGACGCATCCAAGTTTCATCAACTATTGTAATGCGTTTGCAAATTTCATTCAAATAATCCTTACAACTCTCCAACCGTCGCTGCTTGTGGCGTGAGAAATTGCGGTACCCAACACGCATTAAGTCTTTTCATAATCAAATTTTCATGCAAAATCTTTCCAACTCGTTCTTTCTGAACATTTCCTTCGGTCACGGCTGTCAAAATCGTATATGAAGAGGAAAATGTTGAAGAACCAATGACATCTCCTTAAAAATTTCTTTATGCGCAAATTAAAAAAAAAAAAAAAAATATCAAGCAAATTGAATCCTAAAATAATTTTTTGAATAGATCGATTCTTGATCCAAGAGAAGAAACGTTTCTCAGATATTAACTTAAGTAATGAGTTGGCTCAAGCAAATGGAACCAAAATCTCAATTTCTTCGAAGAATCTCTACAACCATCGTCCCTTGATTCTCTTCCGGGGGAAAACCTATTTATAAATTAATCCAGGCAAGAAACTATATTCCAAATATCAGGCAAATCAATCGATCAAAGTTCCACTTACGGGAAGAAAAAATAATAATTTAGACAAAATAAAAAACGATTTAAGTATTAATTTAATTTTTTCGAACATCAGATGCTACGACACACGCATGGCATTCAGTTCAATGATAGGATAAATAGATAAATAAGAAGTTCCAGCTAAAATTTATTAATATACAAAAAATGCTGTTTAATTTTGGGAACAGTTTTTGTTTCAATTTTATAGGAACTTTATAGTTTTCCGCGTAAAGATTTAGTTAAGAAGAAGCATTTTTCGAGGAATAAATTACTGACATGTTCTAACCTTATAACGGCATTTCGACTACTTTTTTGAGGAAACTTTTTAAGTGAAAGTCAAAATATTACTTTGCCTTCTTCTTTTACTTTGAAGAAAATGTTTAATTTTAAATGTTTTTTTGTGCAGAAAAATAAATCTATTTGATTTTTTTGCAGTCCTGCAGCATTTGGTCCTTTTTCATATATTCCAGTATATTTAAATTCCATTACGACTGGACTCATATTTAAGTATTCTATAAGACATAAAACTTTCAGCGGAATATCCCAAATATATGTACTCTACTTAGACCCGCCTGTAGCTCACGCGTGCCTCTTCGGATTGGTGTCTCGTTTAACTTCGAGAAAGCTTGACATATTAGTAGACCAATGCACAAGGTATGATAATTAAGTAATAAGACTGATTCCATAAAAGCCGTATATTCCAAAATTATTCTACAACTCTGCCAAACCAACGGTTCCAGCAGAAAGCACGCTTCGAAACATTTCCGGAGCGCTTCGACTAGGATGTCCGCGAGTACGCTCGTCACGGCCACCTGGATATCCTCAATCGACTCAAAATGGGTTCCTTTCACAACCGATTTTGTTCTAGAGAGCAAAAAAAGGCACAGGGTGACATATAGGGTGAATAAAGTGGTGATCCCCTTAGTGGCCAAATACTGGGACACGCTGATGACGGTGTGGCACGGCGCATCGTCATGACGAAGGATCCAGTTACGAGCGATGTCTGGGCGCACCCTGTGGACTCGTTTTTGCAATCAAAGTAGACTTGATTTACAGTTTGCTCCGGTGAAAGAAATGCTTTGTGGACGGTTCCACGGGTATCAAAAAGGCAATAATCATCGATTTCAGCTCCGATTTCGACTTTCCATTTTCGTGACGAGCACCACGAACACACTTTAACTCAACACGACACAGCAGGCGAACTAAACAAGATAGAGCGATGGCAAGTATATCAATTGAAAGGAGAAGAATGCCGGAAGAAGTCAAGTAAAGTGTCACACCTCGTATTATAGACGTTTTTGTCCCAATTAAACAAATATCAAGTACTAAAAATTCAATTCTAGATTGCCTCACTTTAAGTGATCATATCTATTAAATACGGTGCTCGCTCTTTTCGCGATAAAGCTTTCTGATGGTCTAATGTAGTTAACTAAGAAAAATTTACAAAATTGTCCGGCTCATTACTTTAATATTGTTTTAAGACCCACTAAATCTTTTTTATATTATTGACATAGTGACCCTGGTGATTTTTTTTATTAAAAACTGAGTTTACTAAAAATATAATAATTTAGTAAGTTAATTTTATATTTGAAAAAACATTGACTGTTCAAAGTATTTATTAATTTCAAGCAACTGACTAACGAAATAAAAAAAATATTTTTTAATTATTAAAAAAATAATAATAATAATAATAAAATTATAAAGAATAAAAAATTTCTTTTATAATAGTATATAAATTTGTATTAATCAAAATATATTAAACGCCTTGGAATTAGTCGCTGATTCTTTACAAATCACCCTATACCTTTCATATAAAATATGTACGCTTCTAAGCCTTTCCAGTTGCAAGTTTCCACTTGTAGCATGTGGCAAGTTGGCGCTGTGCTATTTGTTGCGCTAGTTGTGGCGACTGTGGCAGCTACAAGCCAGTGGTAGTCATAGTTATGTTGATAGTTGTTGTTATAACTGTGTTTTTGTGGTGTTATTGCAACACATCAAGTGTGCAGTTGTTGTGGTGTGGATGTATAGTATTTTTGCGGTTGCTCCCAACGCTCAACTCACCACTTGCCACTTGCTGTTTTCTACTTGCTACTGTATGTTGCACATACCCCTGGTGTCACTATCGGTTACCCCCAAGCAACTAGTTGCAATAACTGCTGCTACTCGCTACAACTGCTGCTTGCAACAACTACTAGTTGCCACCTTGCTGCTTGGCTGCTTCAGCGCCTTTTGCTGTTGTGGCAACTTTTTGCCGTCACCACTTTGTATTGCATTAGTTTTATGAATAATAAGTTTATATGTATATATATATTTATGTATGAATGTCTGCATGTACGTTTGTGCGTCTGTCCATTGTGCCGGGCTGTGTGCAACAAGTTTTATGCTTTACATGCCACAAGTGCGCTTTGCATAATTTTTATTGTGTAAACACGATTTTGTTGTCATTAGTTTTGCAACAGTGGCTATTGCCACTTCTGCCGCCACTTTGCCACTGCACCGTAAACCATACTTCCTCGCTGCCTTGCTTTTTTCTCTCCTCCCTTTTTTTCCATCAGGCTTTTACATTAGTTGCCAACAATTTGTTTGGTGTCCTTTCAATGTTGCAACTATTCTCATTTACATATATTAGCTGTATAAAGTTATAGCATTTTATGTGAGTGTGTGTATATATTTGTATATTTGTGCTTATGTGTGTGTATTTGTCTGGCTTGAACGTGCTAGTGGTCAGACCACTGCCTCAATAACAATGTGGTTTCTTTGTTCTGCCGCTTTTAATATACATTTTACATCAATCCTTATCATCCATACACCCGCACTCACACATGCAAATGCACATTATCCTGATACATGAGCGTGCTCGTTTACGCAAATAATGTTTGCAGAAAT